CACACACACACACACACACACACACACACACACACACACACACACACACACACACACACACACACACACACACACACACACTAAGGAGACCATTAAGGCATCGACTGCAATTCGCACCGGCTCCCTCGGTGAGTCGTGTTCTTTATCTGCAGAGCTCCATTCACATGGAAATGAAGTTTACCTCATTTTTCCCTCATTGCAAATGACAAGGTCAATGGCAAATGATTCAATTAGCTTAGCATGGATAGCTATCTGACACGACTGTCCGCGGGTGTCTGAGTGGAGACATTTGGAAATGTGTGTAATTCATCAAATTAACGATTTTTTTTGTGCCAATGGGAAATGATTTCAGGACTCATTAAAAGTTTTGTATTGACTGGTAACTTTTAGGAGTTTAGCCAGAGAGGATTTACAACAAAATAGGCACATTAGTAGCAGCACCATTGGTACAAAAATGGTAAACACTTCCTGTGTGCTAATGTATGTATGTTTTATTTTTGCTAGCTTAGCATATTAACACAGTTAACAAACATATTTAGCAATAGGAACATTTGTTACCTAGGGTTTTCGCTAAGTGACGTTAGCTTGAAATTATGACAGTTTTATGTTAACAACATATATTATTTAGCTAGCATTAGATATTTAAACAGCTAATGAACCTATTTTAGCATTGGGACAATTAGTTAGCTTGAGTGTTTTCGGAGGTTAGCTGACATTAGCTTAAATAGTTTCCAGTTTTAAGTTAATGTCATATTTTATTTGAGCTCGCATTAAATATTTACACAGCTAAGGAACATTAGTCAGCTAGGATGTTGGAGGTTTGATTTGTGTTGCCACATCTTGTAAGAGTTGTTTGTAAAAGAATAAATAAGAGAAATTGATCAATAATAAAGTACGTTTTCTTCTGATTTGACGGTCTGAGAAAATGCCATTTTAGTGTGTCAGTATTTTCGGAGGATTTGTGGCTTTTGATAAATGTGTTATTTGCAATTAATGAAATACGGTCGACAGGATCACATGCAAATCAACAGAATATGGAAGGCAGATCTCAAAGTGTTAATAATTAATAAAACATTCAGCCTCTCTCATCCCACTTAACCCTCCCAAGTCCAGCCTGAATCATAAACCGGGACAAAATGAAGTCACATTTCCATATGAAACCAAACTTGTGGGGTTTACATACCTAAAAAGAAATATTCCAAAAATAAAAAAATACAAAAGGGAGAGAAAGAGGGGGTGCAAAAACATTTTTTTGGACAAAATTAATAATCGTATAACACAGAAATTACACGCAGCCAAATATGGGCGCAACACATGACCAAGAGTGAGTAACAAACCAAAAAAAGTAAAAAATTCAGCCAATCAGCAAGCGTCGGATGCAGCATAGAGACCAATCAAAACGATCGCAGCACTCCCACATCGAACACATACGAGACAAAGATGGGACAGGTAAGTTAAGAGGAAGGGATGCAGGTGAGAAGTAAAGAGACAGAGCCAGTCCATATACAAAAAAAACCAGGAGAACATTAAGATGGAGTGAAGAGAAAAAAGGGAGAAAAATGTACATGAGCAACACAAAAAAATAACAATTACTGTTTAAAAAAAAAAAACATGTATCCCAAGGTGCATCATTCAAATAAAGCAATTAGATTTGGTGACCATTCTCCTGAAATCTCATTGTATGTGGTGGGTTGAGAAACAGAGCACCAAAGGATGGAGGGAACAGAGAAGAGTGAGAGATACGAGATAAGAGAGAGAGAGAGAGAAAGAGTGAGAGCAATCCTCATTCCCAAAAAAGGAGAGAAATCAAATAAACATGAGACACTTTGCCAGGCATTATAACTGTGTGTCACAAACTAAGGACCAGAACACTACGACTACCACTACGACTACTAGTACACAGACAATCCACTACAAGAAAAACCAAACCAAAAAGAAAAAACTAAACAAAATGGCAGCATAATAAGAGACCCAAACACAGTACGGTAAACCCCATATCGGTTTAGAAATGCATATGGTTACACAACACTGGCAACACTGATTTGACCACATTTGGAGCAGCGTAGTTAATTTTTTAAAGCTGTAAATTAACAAAAAAATTCGAATTTACGAGATAATCTTTGGTGTTTTTATTCTACTAAATGTACCCCTTTAATCTCAGAGAATATCCACATTTCTTTCTTGTCAATGTATGATATTTACTTGGAGCAGAATGTACAATTAATTTGCAAAGACACTGCTAAATAAGACTAGGACTGATATTTAAAAAGTCTAATGGTGTATTAAAGCCATTATTTGTTAGTTTTTAAGAACCTGGGACGAAGATAGTTTAGTGAAAAACATCTGAAATTTACAAGAAAAAAAGGGATATTCTCATATTTTTTTCTTGTACATTTACCACTTCAAGTGTATCCATGATTTTTCTCACTTAAATTTCCAATATTTATCTGAAAGATTCTTAAATTAGGCTACCTAAAATTGCCCTAATCAACCGCCTCCAAGTCAAAACGGGATATTCTGTATCTGCAATACGGTTAGCCCGGATGCTAGCTAGCTACATGTCGTACATTAGCTCAAAGCTTCATACTTAAACCTTTGATATATTTTCTTTTTGCCCATTGGCTATTATTGGCCAACATATACAATAAGCTTAAAGCAGGCAGGTCAATAAACTAATACAAATTCAAAACCAGAGCAGCGTTATTTGCCCTGAAGCTCAGGCGCCTGCATTCACTCAAAGCAAATCGTAGGAAGCAATAAGGAGCAAAAAAGCTTCATTTCAATTTCTGTTGATTGTTTTTTTTGTTTTGGTTATTGTTATTAATCAAGAAGACTAGATATACACATTGGAGTCCAAATGGAGAATTAATCAGATGGATTGTGGATAGCCGTGTCATTGCATAGAGGAGGGTGATTACATTCGGTCATTCCCAGTGAGGTGTTAATGACATGGTGTGAGGGAGGGACGGAGGGCATGTGGAGATAATATTACCGCTAAAATAATCGTTGAAAGACGCTGTGTCTGTTTGTGTGTCTGTGGTGCTGTGTATACTCGTAAAATAACAAACAATAATATCTATCTGTCAGCAGATCACTATACTGACTAATATTGCAAATACTGTACAAACTACTTTATTAAATGCCCATTTTTGTTCAGGGGTAGGGTGGGAAAAGGGAGGGGAGGGGTCAGTTCAGTGATAGGTGTTTGTACACAACTTACCGTTGCCGTAGAAACAGCGAGTGGTTACCGTGGAGACTGACAACAACACACAGAAGTCGTCAGGGAAACAGAAAAAATATAATAAATAAAGGAACAAATAATCCTTTAGGAACAAAAGAAACCTAAACGATATCTTCCCCACCCCCTTCCCAACTGCTTTTTCTCATCGTGAAATAAAAACCCTGGTAGCAGCAGTGTTACAGCTCAGAATGGAGTATAAGAGGAAGAGGAGGAAGAGGAGGAGGAAGAAAGAGGAAGGAAAAGGAGAGAGAGGATGCTAGCTCCCGATGACTAACCGAGCTCAGAGCATCATTAAAAACGATCAGAGCAGTGACAGGAAGTTATTCGGTGCTCGAGAGACTGAAAAGGAGAATGGAAATGTGGGGCAACCTCATCTTTAAATCAAATCTAGCCTAGTGAATGCACTGAGAAGCAGCGAATTGGAATACTTCCAAGAAAAGTGAGAAGAAACAAATTCACAACCCAACAGCCTTCTTATTAACAGCAGTATTTAGCTAAAAGAGGCCCTGTTATGCTTATTTCCAGGTTCATATATATAGCCGCTTTCAAACCAAGTACTTTGCCGTACTTAGTTCCCAGCACTTATGTTGCATTTCCACTGCAGCGGGTAGCCCCGTTTAAGCGTCCTTAAATTGTCCTCAAGCGGCCAGGCCAGTTTTTGGTCCTTTTCCCTCTTTTTCCGGCCCCATAAAATCATGGTTCTATCAGGCCAGGCACAGGGCTGAACTAGTGACGTCAACACTCTCGACTGCTGATTGGTCCGAGAGAATCGCCTGCGAGATCATCCCTAGCGTCGCATATATATCTAGAAGCAAGCTTGCAGCATTTTTATACACAGCATTTTTGTAAACGGAGGAGCTACAAAATTGTCAACGTCAAAGAAAAGCACACCGTGGTCGACCGAGGAGGTGACGACGTTCCTACATCTCATTGGCCAAAAAAAAGCCGATCGCCCCGCCTACACTGCGTTGCTACCACAGGTCCTAAACTGTAATGGAAATGCGCCACGGCCTCGGACAGCCAGCGAGGCAGATCGAGGCCTGAGCGAGGACGCTTAGACGGGGCTACCCCGCTACAGTGGAAATGTGCCATTAGTCTGGATCAGACACAACAGTTAGGGGTCTTTTATAATCCGGAGGGATTTCTTCCTGAGCCGCTGGGAGTACAGGTCCTCCATGGATGGCAGCTCCGTCCTAGTGATGTTCTGTGCAGTTTTCACCACCCTCTGTAAAGCCTTACGGTTGAGGGCGGTGCAGCTGCCATATCAGGCCGTGAAGCAGCCAGTCAGGATATTCTCTATGGTGCACCTGTTGCAGAGTATCCTGGAGTCCATGTTGAACCTCCTTAGCCTGCGGAGGAAGAAGAGCCGCTGTCAAGCTGTTTTTGTGATCACGCTAGTGTGAAGAGTCATGTCAGGTCCTCAGTCAATTGGACACCGAGGAACCTGAAGCTGCTAACTTTCTCCACCGTAGTCCCGTAGTCGATGTGCGATGGGGGCGTGTCCCTCTCCCTGCTGCTTCCTGTAATCCACAATCAGCTCCTTTGTTTTGCTGACGTTGAGATGGAGGTTGTTATCCTGGCACCAAGATGTCAGGTTTTCGACCTCCTCTCTGTACGCCGTCTCGTCGCTGTCTGTGATCTGGCCGATGACGGACGTGTCGTCAGCAAACTTCACGATGGTGTTGGAGCTGTGTGTGGCCAAGCAGTCGTGTGTGAACCGACTGCTTGGCCACACACAGCTCCAACACCATCGTGAAGTTTGCTGACGACACGTCCGTCATCGGCCAGATCACAGACAGCGACGAGACGNATAACAATTCGAATAGACAGACACCGATATAGATTTCACGTCCGCTTTCTTACTGCTGCGCCATCCCTTGAAATATAAAGAAAGGATGCAAAACCAAACACTTTAAAAAATAAAACTACTTTTTCATTGTCGGCCATGTGGGTGGGGTTAGACAAACAGAGCGGTCATGGCATTGGTTTTCCATGTGATTTTCTGACCAGTGATCTAAAGATTTTCGGTCCAATAGAGTGTAAGACCGGACAAGACCAGGAACATGTGTGCATGACTCCGCCGCGTGCTTTGGCTACATCTGTCGCAAAGTTTGGGTCACCCTCCTTATATATTTTAGAGAGCCTGGGCTCAGTAAAGTGTGTGCGATGCACTACTTTGCATTGAATCAGTCATGTCTAGCACAAATAGAGATGTATGTACATTAGCAAGGGGGTTTTTTCCCAAAGTTCTTTCAGAAACTCCTCCCCAAGGATTCTGTTTCCCCAAAGAGATTCAATGGAGTTCAGGGTAAACCAAACGCAAGAGAATAAATCTGAGTGGTTAAAATATTAACCGATCAAGGCCCATCAGAGTAGGCCTAGGAGTGTGTCTAGTGGCTGGAGGAAATCTATTATTAAACAAAACTCGTGAATTCTGTAGATACCTGAAGAAATGTTGGATAGTATGTAGTGCACTTTATTAGGTAGCTGTTGGAAGAGGCAAATGTGTTGTGAATCCAAAGGTCTTTGAATGCTTAATGCCTTGGTTAAACCTAATAGTAAATGCGCCATCTACTAAGGGATGGAGGGAAACAACATGGTTTGCAGTTAAAGGGGCGTAATGTAGAGTATGGGCTTGGAGATCAAGAAAGCGTCTGAACGTGATTCCAATTTTTAAGGATGCTTTGGCAATTACATTTTTAGTGTAAGCAGAGGAGGGGGTCTCTAATGGGATACTGGACTACAGGAGCAGCCCTCCCATTTCCAAGCCAGACAGGCAGAGATGCGTGAGTCAGACTGAAGCCAGGGATGTATATTCTCATTTCGTTGCCCAATAATTAGAACCTCAAATTCGGGCTGAAGCAAGTCCACCCCGCGCTTTGGTCTCTGTCAAAATTGCTTTAAAAAAGATCTTCTAAATGCTATCGGTCACCTGATCCCGATGGTAAGTGTAGGCTGTGTAGTGCAGGTTTTTAAATGGTTAACTATGTATGAGGAAACTCCACGCGCCCGCTCTATTTAAAGGAGACAATTCGCTTTTACTTAAATTGAGTTTATAACCGGATGCAGCACCAAATGGCTAAGGTAGAGAGAAGTCTGCAGGGACGGACACAGATAAATTAGAGACATAAAGAAGAGGTCATCCGCATAAAGAGAAGTTTTCTGTTCTTTTTTATACCCCATTTCTGAAAATACCTCTCACGAGAGCGCTCAATAGCTAAGGCAACATAAGAGACTGTGCTCAAGGGACAACCCTGCGCTGGTGGAGCGGTGAGAGGAAATATTCAGAATGCGTGTTATTTACAGTAGTCCCACGGAAGCTAGGGGAGAGGAGTACAATAGCTTCACCCATGAGGTAAAGTTCTTTTCCAAGGTGTGGAAAAAGATACCCACTCCCCCACGATCAAATGCCTTTCTGCACCTAAGATATCCACAGCTTATAGTTTTTTTTTTTTTTTTTTTTTTTTTTTTAGAATTTGCGTCAGGCTGGTAGATTGGTGTTTAAAAAGGTCGTCTTAAGTAAAACAATGAATGCCTATTTTTGATGAAGCCGGTTTGATCGGGGAGGATAATGGTTGGTAACCATACTTGTCAACCCTCCCGATTTTAGCGGGAACTCCCGATTTCATTTGCCCTCTCCCGGGTTTCCTCTCGGGGTCGTATTTCTCCCGATTTTCTGACAAATCAGACTTTACTCAGGACTTTTCCCACTCGGACTTTAATACAGTTACACCATTGTTTGGTCTTCCATGGTAAACGTTCTCTTGAGTAGCGGCGCGCAACTGAAAGTCTGACAGCGGTGAGGCAGATAGTCACAGAAAACAGAACAGAATCGACAACTACTTAACTGTCTGCTCACTCCTTTCCTGCCCACACATATGCTCCATCAAGGATGGTGCTACAGGCTGCACTTAGAACTACAATAAGCATGTTAATGTTAATCTAACAGCTCCGGCGATAAACTAGAACCCCGCCCCCCCCCCCCATTTTGCATTTTGAAATGCTCCCGATTTCTGAGGTCTCAAGGTTGGCAAGTAACACGGTTTCCAAACGTAAAGCGAGCATTTTAGACAGCCCCCATTGTTCTGTGACCTGTCAATCATCAAACCGGGGGTCATATCATTTCATTACGTATGTGTTCATTTGTATCTGAAGTTGTACCCATGGATGTATAAAGAGTAGTTCTACCGCAAAAAAAAAGAAAAAAAAATGTTATTCCCTGGGGGACTTTCCGGCAACAATCTTGATTCTGATTGGCCAGAAGACTCGAAAAAGCATCAGCAAAGACGTTTTATTGAGAAGATGATCACTACGTGACAGAAGTTTGCCAAACCGCTTATGGTGTCCGGTACTTCAAGTCCAACTCCTACTGCGTTAGAAAATCGGGCCACTCACATCTGCGACCCACTCTAAATGGGTCCCACCAGTTGAGAACCACTGATTTAAACAACATATTTGATTAGAGCAACAAGTAAAGGCGAACAGCATAAGAGTGAAATGACATTTAAGTCAAATCAGAATTAGTTTCAAAAGTGTCATCAAGCCCTATATAATGACATTTCACAGGCTTTTCTAATTAAATTAAAGCAGTCATGAAAACAGTAATGTCCAGCTATGTCACTTCCTGTTCCTGGGTGTTATTTCGCATCAGGACTCAGATGAAGTGCATGATGTTTGAAAAGAAGGCCTCAGTGTTAGCGATGTTAGGCTCTACATATCCATAAATCCGTCTGATAAGATGATCAGTTTGAGCTGAGCTAGCATCACTGAAACTCTCACACTCTATATATCTACAGTTAATCGTCTCTGTGAGAGAGGAGGAATGTGGAGCAGGACACACACACACACACACACACACACACACACACACACACACACACACACACACACACACACACACACACACACACACACACACACACTGATCATGTGAAGATGACACATTAAATATTAAGAATAAATAAGATGTGCTGCAGAGGGAGGGAGCTTTCATGAATATAGGTCTGTAAGTGTTACATAAGTTAACATCAGCTCCTGTGATGTGATGTGCAGAGCGTCATTTATTCTGATTAGTGCTGCGTTTAAAGACCCGTCTCTGCAGAGAGGGGGCTGCTGCTGGGGAGCAGAACGCAGTCTGTTTGATGATTAAACTCAGAAATATCTGCTTGTCAATTAATTAGATGCTTCCTGGGCTCTCGGTGGACAAATACCCATGATGCACCATTGTGTGTGGAAGTAATCAGAGTACAGCTCCTTCAAAGAGAGGCGCTGTTTCCTGTGCTGCTTTCTAAACTGCCGCTGGAGGCTTTCCTTCTCAGGAACATCACAGAGAGTAATGCCTCCGTTACTCCTGCCGCTCTCAGTCCGTCAGTACAGAGGGGGCACTTCCTGTGGCCTGTTGTTGGGATGCTGAGGGTTTCTTCTTCTTCTTCAAGAAAAATCAGACATATCGGCACAACTTCCTCAGCTTTCCATTGATCTGCAGATGTTGTTGGTCTGTGATGGGGAAAAAATACTGTACGCCCAACAGCTTTGCTAGTTGCTGATGGTTAGCTAGCCCTTCTGTTTTTTCATTCCAGCAGCGTTCCCTCATCACCTTCATGAAAACTTCATTTGAATTTAATTCTTATTATTTCTCTGGGTTTTGTGCTGAATCCTCTTGCTGTGTCCCGCTCTGTAGTACTACTCTAATTCAATATTCTAAGGCTTTACAGTCGTTTGCACAGTAGCTACAGTGCATCTTATCGTACCGTATGAAACCGCGTCATCTCCTGTTGTATCAAGTCGAATCCTGTTGTATCAGGTCGAATCCTGTTGTATCAGGTCGTGACGTACCGTATTATACCCATCGTATTGTATAGCTTACTGTACAGTATCATACTGTATATCGTATCTAGTCTTATCATATCGCATCGTATCGCCTTGTCTCGACCATTTCCTATCGATAATTTTCTTAACGTTTATTTTCTTTGAATCTCAGAGAAGTGTTTTCACTTTCAGTAACTTCCTGTGATGAAAAAATGTTTGAATCCTATATCCTCCTCATGCTTCATGAACCCTCTTGGGAACATTTTTCTCATTTTACATTTTCTAACAGAAAAGGCCTACAAGCGTCAACAACAGAACAAAGCACACTCAGACATATGCATGTCAATATTTAGATATCCAGTAAATCAGTATTGCCACACATTTACTGCTGAAGGTGTGTGTGCTGCCTGTTTCCCCCTGTGACTGAAACTGAAGCATGTATTCTTCATCAGTCTTCATCATTAAACGTGTGTAAAGCTCCTGAGAGCCTCACAGTCACTGAGGAGCTCCTGATCCAACATCAAGAGAGTCTGCTAGGAGCTGCTTACTATCGCTCTGTCTCACACACACACACACACACACACACACACACACACACACACACACACACACACACACACACACACACACACACACACACACACACACACACACACACACAGAGTACCCCTTCAGGTGATCAGTGTGTATGTGTTTACTCTCTCTGCAGATCAGAGGCATTGTGGATGCTGAGGATCCTCACCTGAAGGCTGCAGACACAGGTCAGTTACACACACACACACACACACACACACACACACACACACACACACACACACACACACACACACACACACCATAAAGCACTTGTGATGCATAGGCTGCTTCATGTCATGAGGCAGGTGCTCCACAGTGCCGATGTAAACTTGTCTGCTTGAAATGCACATGCAGTAGTTTCTATAAAATATGTATATATTGTGAATACCTAGAAGCTGTGTGTGAATTTCAAAACAGATTGTCCGTGCATGAGTGTGTGTTTCCCTGTGGCTATGGTTCTCTTTGACGTGTGTTTGTTTTGAAGGTGATGCAGCTAGTTTATTCCCCTTCACACACAGCGAGCACATTATCCAGCTGCTACAGGAGACAGGCTAGGTATTTATGGCCACGTAAAGTGTGCTCCACATCTACATCTACCACACACACTGAATTAAAAAGTGTGTGTTTAATTTGTACAGAAGTTTAGAGCCTGTCTGTTAGCACGCTCCCAACAGAGGGTGTGTGTGTGTGTGTGTGTGTGTGTGTGTGTGTGTGTGTGTGTGTGTGTGTGTGTGTGTGTGTGTGTGTGAGAGATAACAGATGGTCCCCTGCATCAGAAGTGTTTTATTTCCCAGTGGAAGCAGATATGTCAGAAATAAGTGTGTGCAGCATTAGTCATTTGGAATATTCATGCCCCCCCGACCAGCGCTTCCTCTGNCTGCCACCCGGAGTCCCCGGCTGGAAGTCCCAGGAGTTCACCTTCCGAGTAAATCGCCAGAACGCTGACACCTCCTCATCTCCACCGCTCTCATGTTTTTTTTTGTGTTGCCATAAATTATTCTCTCTCCGTTGGTGCGCGGGGCTAATGCTAATGTTGATAATGCTAATGTCAGCAAATACAATGGCGGCTTCAAAAAGCTTTTCAGAGTTTTACGGGGCGTGGTTTGCAATTCGCCCAGCCAATCAGAAATTGGTACTTTTTTCTCCCGAGGATAGTCCCACCTCTCTAGCAGGCACTAAAAATGGGGGTAAAAGTTCTCATGAACTAAGTTCTCTTTTTGGTGTGAACGCAAAATTCGGAACTAAACGGGAAAAGTACGGGTAAAAGTACTCCGGTGTGAAAGCGCCTTATATGTTGTGCCTCCCCTCTACTGGGACATGTCTCCATGCTTTAATGTCCGACCCATAGCCAATCACGTACAATGTGTTGGAGCGCTAGCCAATAGGAGCATGGTGTGTGTGGGAGAGAAACTTCCTCTGGAGGGAATTTAGAGATTATAGCCTTTGCAGACATTTACATGCACACAAACCTACATAACTACAGGAAAGGAAAACCCCCCAAAAGCATAAAAGGGCCTCTTTAAACTTGGGCAATACATGACTCATTATTGTGTGGCTAGGTTAGGCCAGAAGAGAAGAGTCTATGTTCAATAAAATACATTTAATTATCTGTTGTGAACTGAGTGGCAGATTATTCCTTAAAGTGTTTAGCAGTCACCACAAAATAACATACTGAAAGTTGTTTGATAGTCAAACAATAAAGCAAGACGTAA